TTCATCATCTTATTCTTTTTTTATGTAACTTTATCATATTTATTTGATTGATTTATTATCGAAAAATTCTAATTCATTTATTTATAATCAATGCAAAAAAAAAGTTAGCAAAATGGTTTCCATTGAAAAATCTTCTTCGCTATTTCTTTGTATTCTTATCATTTATTCGCTATTAGGTATATCACGCATGAATGATATAAACAGGGTATAACATTTTGTCGTGATCATAATCATAATAACAAGTGAATATAGAGAATGTCATTTGTATAAATTATCTTTTTTTCTGATAAAATTCGAACTTTTGAAATAATATTTATAAAACAACGAAAAACCAAATTGTATCGGCAAATTTTGTTACAAAGAAATGCTATGCTATTCAAGTCAATTGATATATGATGCTTAATGAAGTTGCATGCAAAACTATAGAAATGGTTTCCTACTTTCAATATTCATTGATATAAACACCATGTTATATGCTTCTATATTTTCTGTTAGTAGTAGAAAACTTTTAAACAAAAAATATCCCACTCTTCTAATACGTTTTGTTCATTTAATGTGATTTATTTACTAGAAAATTAATTAGTAATGATGGCCTAAGTTTGTGATGAGTAGTAAAAATAACCTATATATTTATATATTTTAATTTTTGTTTTACTAGTCAACATACTATTGAACATGATTTATATTTCTTGATTAGTTAGTCTTTCCGAATAGTTACACAAAATTAGAAAATCGATTATAATTATACTTTCTCTTATGCAGAAAGTGCTTGTTATCTATTGAGTTTAAGTTCGAATTTATCTTCACCATGATATTTACTGGTTCGAACATACCATTTACCTTCAAATTGATTATTTTGTGCATTCCACGTCAGTTGAATAATGACTTGATGACCTAAATTTTCTAATTGATTACCAGTACCTCTTGTATATGTTTTTGTAAGACCAATTCGACGTGTTTCAACTGAATAAATACCATCAATAGTAAATGTACCGATATCATCTGATCCTGAACCTGTTATTATCATCGATTGAGGATCAAACGAGAGTGAAAATTGATAAGGTCCATGCCATTTTCCATATTGATAATATTGACTTTTCCAATAACCAGATTTGAATATACTAGTATCCATGGGCGGCGGAGCGGTCTTAGTTTAGGGTAGGCTCAACTCTTAAGCCAAGCCAGCACCGTGAGTCAATTGAAAGACTTTTTTTCGTTTATAATGGTAAGCGCTACAGATTCTCTTGCTAGGTTTAAATTCCGTAGAATTTGATGACTAAAGGATGGTTCGAAAGTTTCGATCCCTCTCTATAAATCGATAATATCTACAACAAACTTATACAAAGTTATTGATCAAATTGTGTTTTTTTGTAGAGGAAGATGAGAGTTATCATTTGAAAAAAATATTTCGAAATACATAAATCTATCATAATGTTATGATCATTTTAGCAGCTTTGAGCTGGCATCCCACTCCACCTCTTTTTCCTCCTTTTCTTCTGTTCTTTTAAAATTCCTCTTTTTAGCCTCTTTTTTCGAAAAAATCCACTTTTTCCTCTTTTCTCAAGAAGAAGCAGGTCGTTGACAAAAATATTCATGAATATATTGATTATTGTTACCGTATCATACAAAAGTATCACATAACAAACTGATGTGCTGATCAGTCAAGTTGTATAGCTAAGGAAGCTAAAGTATATGATTTTAGTGATCAACTTCAGCGATATTATATATTCATAATCGGATCCCAATTTTTATAGTTCTCTAGCGGAAGCAATAGCACTCAGTTATGTTTCCAATATGAAATCATCATTCTCTCACGATCTTAACATGTTTTTGTGTACTCGAAAAGTGAGTACACTCTAGAATCGGTCAGTGTGTCAGTCCGGCCGTTTACACGATAACTTTTGAAAGGAGAATCCGATTGCGATGAAATTTTCTACACACTTTAGTCTCAAGAATATCTCGGTCGAGTTCGAAGATGAGAATGATTCGTCAAGCCGTTCCTCAGTTATTGCAAACATAGTCATTATTCCCTATGCCTTCCTATGCGAAAATCGACCTATTCCCCGCTTTCGTAAGAAACTTTTCCTATCATAGTCAAATAAAACCCCAACTATTATATACCATTCGATAGAGAATTTCACGAGCTACAAAATGGTATATAAAACATAAAGAAACAAGAAGACTAACTCACCTATTGCAAAGATAATTAAACGGGAAATGGTTCTGTTCTTATCCACACTCTAGTTGATCCACAATTAGAGCTCTGTCTTTCGATCACAGAGATGATAGTTCGAGGTTTTCTGGGTCGGAGAACTCTAATCCAAGCTTCGTTTGCCTTGAAATCCTATTGGTTGAGCAGTAACCAATAGAAATCCAGCTATAGGAAAAAACGACTTTCTTAGGGTAAATCAAGGCGAAGAGTTCAAATCTGAGCGGTATTCATCTCTAAGTCCTATTGATTGAGCAGTAGCCAATAGAATTCAAGTGCTTTATAGAAAAGGTTTGCCAGGATAATTTTTACGTCCACACATTCTAGGATGACTCATCTGTGTCATTCACTTTTTGAAGTACATATAACTCTCGGGTTTAAATCCGAGGTTTCCACATTTATTCTGGTTAAGATCAATATGTAAAATTATAATCTCGAGCTTACTTTTCTTGACCACTTTTTTCGGCCCCAGAGAAGCTTGTGATATGAATCTAACAATAGATAGGTAACTCGTAGCGTAGCGCATGCTTCAAAGCAAAGAGTTCCTAGGATGACTAGACTCAATCTAGAATTCTGTCAGATTCAATGGGATTTGTTCGGCAAGATAGCTTCCGATAGTATGATAACATAAGTTGAAGATTTCTGCTTATCAGAAAATGAAATAACCCCTCTTCCTCTTCTTCTGAGTTTCTTCGTATTCAATCACATTTTGGAGGTTCGTATATCTCCAAACTGTACACAGAGAAATATAATCGTATACGAAGAAATACGAAGTAAAACGAAAAGTGTAGATGAGCTTTGTTTGTCTATAAACGATCATATTTTTGCGCATACGATCACGGATTTATACGATCACATTATTGGGTGATATGAAACGCCGTATTTCTCCAATTACGAGCGTGTTTGCTTGACATGGGTTAATATTGACAACGGTTTGATGATACTTGGAAGAAATCGGATATGATTGAATGCAACAGCAACAAACAGGCATATTTGATAACCAAAAAGTAAGAGATCATCCAATCTACTCAATACAAGTAAGTCGTTTTATACAGAACCCAAGAAGATGATCATATGTCACTGCGAAAAACTAAGCGTTTTCGATAGCACGCGGTCATATGATCCCCACAAACCTGCTGTCTGGGCACAGTTGCAACCAATGTATTAATTTATGTTGAGATAACGGAAAAGTGAAACTGACTTGCGAAAAATGGTCAAAATCACGGAAGAATTGCCGAAAATTGAAAAAGTGCAAGAAAAACTTTCTTACATGCGCAGCCATCCGAAAAAAAGGAACAAAACGCAAAAAGGGCATTTAATGAATTTTGATTGTTTCTATTTCTATATACCTACTTAGTTAGACAGTAATACTATACTCAGATACTATGCAGATAGAATATTTAGAATATTTTTCTAATGTTTTCCGGTTTTCTAATGGATAAATAAGCAGCTGCACAAAAATCTCCGAACAATTTGGAAGTTTCGTTTTTGTATTTCTCTTTCAAGTCATATTCAATCTATACCGATAACGTACGAGTTTTGTCGGATCTATAGTACTATAGTGCCGGTGAGTTTTAGTTTTCTTCGAAAGGAAACTGTACGCCTCTTTTTCTCCTCTTTTTTTTTATTAAAAAGTCTCTTTTTTTCAAGAATGCTGGGCATATTTTTTTCTCTTTTTTTTTTACAAAGTGTTGGTGAGATGCCAGATCTATTTCCAAATATTTTTTCACATGACAACTCTTATCTTTCTCTAAAAGATGACGTAATTTGATCAATAACTTC